TTAATGCTTTTTATCAAATGTACTTATTTTCTCATGGTGACAAAAAAAATTATCTACGTGAAAATTATTTTACAAAATCAATTTCTGAGTAATCTGTGTAGGGTGAGATTTGTTATGTAATTTTAAATTTAGCGGCGGCAGAATACCTAAAACAAATATTGAGTAAGTAGGTATATAGTTGTAGAGCGTACAATTTGATGGCGCTTGCATCTTTTATCGGCTACAGGTAATTTAACTCACTGTATTACCGATAATTCCTAGAAAAGGAAAGCAATAGAAGTTGGAGAAAGTGTTGTCAGTTAGCGCTGTTAATGACCACGAAATCTGTTCAAGTTTCCTATCTATAGTATCATTTATCTAGGATGCAAGTCATTCCAGACGAGCAGTTCGCCTTCCGACCCAATCACTCCACTGAACTCCAAATCCTTCGCCTTACCGAGCACATCACGGCGGCCTTCAACAGGGGACAGTACAATGGTGCTGTCTTCCTGGACGTCGCAAAGGCCTTCGATACGGTTTGGCATGAAGGCCTACTGATGAAAATGCTCACCAACCAATATCCCATATCCTTTACCAAACTCATAAAATCCTACCTACACCACCGAAAATTCCGCATCCAAATCCAAGATTCCCTTTCCACCACCCGTCCCATGGAGGCCGGTGTCCCCCAGGGCACCGTCCTGTCCCCACACCTATACATCATTTACAACTCCGACATCCCACATCCCCCCAACACCAACATATACTTATACGCCGACGACCTGACAATCACATCCCAATCCGTAGATCCTAGATATTCCGTCTACCTCCTCCAAAGCTCCTTAGACCAACTTGAAACCTGGTGCAACAGGTGGAAAGTCAAAATTAATCCCAACAAAAGTTCGGCTATCCTTTTTACCAAACGAAAAATCCCACAAAACCTTGACAGACTGACACTATCCCAGGAACCCATCTCCTGGAATCGACAAACACGATACCTGGGCGTGACGATGGACCAGCGTCTCACGTGGAAACCGCACATCGTGGAGACGGTGGCGCGAGCGAAGACCACCAGGGCTAGGCTCTATCCCTTACTCAAAGGTGGAAACACCCTCAGTTTAAGGAATAAGCGAACGCTTATCAAGGTGGTACTTCAACCGCAGCTAACCTACGCCTCCACGGCGTGGGGTCACGCGGCAAAAAGCCACTTAAAGTCATTACAGGCTGTGGAAAACATAGCCCTCCGCACGGCCATCGACGCGCCCTGGTACGTAAGAAACACTGACATATTACGAGACTTACAATACACAAACGCTACACAGACAATAAGACAAAACGCGGAGAAACGATTTGACGTAGCCGCTAGACATGACAATCCCCTCCTCAGGCAAGCCGTTGACTACGTACCCGACGTGACCGACAAACACAAAAGACCTAGACACCAACTTTTTGACCCTGGGTGACCACCCCCAATGCCCCCCCCCCTGCCCGCTAACCTTTTCTGTTTCAGAGACAGCCAGGATCAAGAAACGAAGACAACGACACACACACACACATACACACCCCCCATACCCTCCTTAACCCTCCCCTCCCGCGCTAGCCTAAGGGCCACCTTAGCAAAGCGCATCCCAGGCTGCATAGCCGCACTACCCTACCCAACCATACCACACATAAACATGACACTACCCCCGGGGTTTACACAGACGAGCCGGCGAAGCAAGAAGAGCGCCAGAAGAAAGGGCCCTAGCCGGCGGGGCCCAGCCAGGACAAAAGGAGGTCCCACAAAGCGCCTACACCGGCCGCATTTGCGGTCGGGGTAGACGACGGATGGGGCCCACCTACGAAGGCTGTCCAGGCCTACACGAGATGAGGCAGGATAAAGAGGGATAATCCCCCTCGATCCCAAATCATTGAGGCCAATTTCTAGCCATAGAATAATGGCGCGGCGAGTTCCCTGGCAATTTGAAATCTTCTAAAATACTCCTGAGGGCCTTTCGATTTGTCAAAAACTGATATTAGTTGCTAATAGTCAAAATAGTCAAAACGAAAACCCCCCTTGAGGTGCTCTCGTTTTTGCAAAAATGGTACCTAATAGCAACTAATATCAGTTCAGAGTAGTGATGGGCAAAACGATTCATTTTGATGTTTCGAATCAAATGACTCATTTCAAAGTTGAGAGTCGAAACTGGGAGCCGACTCTTCCGACTCCCAACTCCCATGGTAGATATCGAATCGCCAAGTTCGTAATGCGCATAATCACGGTGGCCCGTCTCGGAACGGACGGAAATAGCGAAATCTGGGCCGATTGACGAATTTTGTCGATCTTGAGCTTGACCGATAATTCGATTACATATTTGTTTATACTGAAACGACTAAAATTGAAATTAGTTCTTCCACTGCAGTCAAGGGTTATGTACTTAGTTCTTTCACTGAAATTTGTTGTCATACAAAAATGCGAATGAATGCGACGATAAAGCATATATTCTCTTCAAACGTTTACAAATACAAACGCAAACCGTTTGCTACCGTTTTTCCCTGTAGATTGTGGCCATTGTTGCCCACACTCTTTACTCCCTATCAGTATCAAACGACTTGCAAATCACTAAATATCAGTGATCACAGGCACAGCTACACGCCGATCCAAATCGCAAAACGAATCTGACTCTCGGCCCTGGTGGTTCAGCTGTACACTATAACGGATTTGACACTCCACACGGAAGTCGGTGAATCATCGGAGTCGACTCTTACATATTTTGGGAGTCGACTCAGATGATCTAAGCCAAGAGTCGACTCTCTGATTCGAAACATACACTCACTAGCCAACACTAGTTCAGAGTAACCCTAAGTTGCTATTAGCTGCTGATAGCTACTATTTTTGCCAAATCGAAAGGCCCTATTAAGTGCTTCCGAAGTACATTTGAGGGCCTTTCGATTTGGCAAAAATAGTAGCTATTAGTAGCTAATAGCTACTATTTACTCTGAACTGATATCTTAGTTGCTAATAGATATTATTTTTGCCAAAATGAAAGCCCCTTGTTGTCAATTGGAAAGCACTTAGTGTCGTCACTACTGTCACTGTCAGTCAGTTGTAATAATAACCAAAATCCTACAATATGAAGTTTGAAAATTTGAATGGTATTCCGGATTCCCTATTATAAAAGAAATCAATAATTTGACCGCAGTATTTAACCTATTATTTGTATTAAGTGATTATTTTATTGTGATGTATTATCATTTCATTATAATAAATTTTATATTAAAAGTTTATGATGAATACTTTACTTCGCAGGGCATGTTTTAAAAAATATAAATTTCTGAGAAATTTTATCGATGGCACAGCATATTCAAAGGTACTTAATGGATTATATAAAAGAATAAAATATAATATTAAGTTTTAGGTTGATTTTTCTGAAAAGCTCCAAGCCATTGTTAAAAGGGTATACAGTTCATCACAGTCGTCACACAAGAAACAAATATATTTAATAGATGAGGATGAAAGTAAATGTGTAAATAAAATCAGCAACTTTAGTAAATATACAAGTCGGTCATATACTTGTGGGGAATTACGAAGCAGTAATATCGGAGAAAGGGTAACTTTGTGTGGTTGGCTGGAATATCAAAGAATGAATAAGTTTGTGGTTTTAAGAGATAGTTACGGTGAAACACAATTATTAATAGATGAAAAAGTATACGTTATTTGTGCCAATTATTAAAAATTTTATTTTGAAAATTTTTAGGATATGGAGACACAGAAAAGTTTGTCAACTATTCCATACGAATCGATAATTCAAGTAAAAGGCACCGTGTTATCCAGGCCTAAGGATATGATGAATGAAAAACAGGCCACTGGCCAAGTAGAAGTATTAGTAAACGATTTCAAAATAGTTAATAAAGCAAGAGATAACCTACCATTTAACATTAGAGAATTTCAAAAAGCTAAAGAAAGCCTTAGAATCCAGTATAGATATTTGGACTTAAGGTTTCCTCAGATGCAAAGGAATTTACGGGAGCGATCTATGCTACTTATGAAAATGAGAGAGTATTTAGTGAACAATAATTTTGTAGATGTAGAAACACCTACTTTATTTAAAGCTACCCCTGGGGTGAGTATGCTCAATTTAAAATTATCATGGCTCAAAAACCATTGGTTAATTGTAGGGTGCGCAAGAATTTATTGTTCCGACTAGATTTCCAGGCCAATTCTACTCCTTAGTACAAAGTCCACAGCAATTTAAACAAATGTTAATGGCTGGAGCTATGGACAAATATTTTCAAATAGCTCGTTGTTATCGAGATGAAGGAGTAAGGTCTGATAGACAACCGGAATTTACCCAACTGGATATCGAAATGTCTTTCACCAATATGGACGGAGTAATGTGTCTTATAGAAGACCTTCTTTCTCATTCCTGGCCTGATTATCTCAATCCTATTCCTGTAAGATTTCAAAGAATGAGTTTTGAGCAAGCAGTACAAAATTATGGTAATGATAAACCTGATATTAGGTTTGATTTTACGGTAGGAACAATTTTGGAGTCATTAAAAATGTATAAGGTGCTGTCTTATTTTTAGATTGAAAATTGTACTGATTTATTAAGAAAAAACAAGAAACTAGTTAATTCCGATAATTTTCAAGCATGTTTTGTGAAATTTCCTAAGGAATACTCCAACCTGAGTAAACAGATTAAAAGCCTTATGTCCGATGTAGCTAACAAATTTCCTAGAGTTAAATTTGTCCAAAGTAAGATTAATACAACGAAGGAATGGATACACAAAATCAGTAAATTACTGGGCAGTGATATTGCTATAAAATTTACTGAAGAAAATAAAATTCAAGACGAAAGTGTCTTGTTTTTAGCCTATGGAAATAAAAATGAAGTAGTAAGTGTTATGAGTTTGTACTAACTAATTGGTTCTGATTTTCATAAATTGCAGCTATCGTTACTGGGCAAAGTTAGATTAGAATATGTTAACTTTTTGGAAAATTTGGGAATAACTATTAGGAAGAAGGGAATGCATTTTCTTTGGGTAACCGACTTTCCGTTATTTGAAGTTTCCGAAGAAACTGGTTGCTTACAGTCTGCCCACCACCCTTTTACTGCACCCCATTTAGATGATTTGCATCTATTAAAAACTGAACCTTTAAAGGTAAGTCCTTAAAGCACAAGCAACGTTTATACGGAATATAACTTAAATACGTAAAAATAAAAAAGCAACTTAATTTTCGTGACAGGGGTAGTCAAATTGGAAAAAACATAAATAAATTAACATAAATATTTTTGAAGATGTTTGACGTAGACTGACAAAATGGTACAAATACTCTGAATTTGTGTAAAATTACATCAACCACAGAAGGATATACTTAATTGATTTTATTTAGGAAATGAGCACTTTTCGAGTAATTTTTTTTAAATCTAAAATAAGCTTACACAATTGAATAAATCAAAAACAATCTAAAACTACTATTCGTAGAAAAAAACATTAGAATTTTTGGTTAGAAATACAATTTTAATTACAGTGTAATCATCAAACTGAATTTTTTTTGGTATTGATAAAATTTCTTTGCCTTTTGATATATCGGGTGATTTCACTTTAAATACAGAAACTGCAGGATTAAATTCATTACCAAAAAATAAGTAGAGTTTGCTCTATAAGCTTTTTTCCTGGAGGACAGGTATTTGAAATATAGGGTGTTCAAGTTTTCAAAAAAATATATGTTTTCGGTCATATCTTCATATTACGCTGAACGAGTTGAATGAAATTTATTACAGCGTATTCACATAATTAGACCTTTTATTGAATGTAATATTAACTTCGTGGCGTGAAACTGAAGGTGCCGCTCCATTTTCGCATGAAAAAAATACACCACTGGCAGTTTTCTGTGGAAATAATATTAAATTCAGGTACTGCCATGTTAAATGAATGAAAAGTTATTCTTGTTTTTTTTGTGCAGCCATTTAGTCGATAATTTACTTATTTGGTGACCATAATAAGCAAATTTAGTCCACCTACTCATATTTGTTTAAAATCCATCAGTAAAAATTGAATCTTTTCTCTGAATTTTCGGTTAGTAAGCTTTACGATGATCTCGTTTTAGTATTATGACTAGCTTTGTTTATTTATTTTTGAAGCTGCAGTCCTTGTAGGGTTTATGAACAGAAGATGAATTGTGGCAAAGAATAGAGGAAAATTGTAATCTCATCAGGGAAAATCATGTCATGATAAGTTCCTCTATAAATAGATTACAAGATGTCAAAAGTGTATCGATGCGGAAGGACTCTGTTTTGGACATTTACTTAATTACTTACTCAACCTACTTGCTAATGTTATTTTATTATTTAGTTTTGATATTTTTTCTAGAAATAAATTTATTTCTACAAAAAACCGCCAGTGGCGTATTATTCTTTTCTTGGGAAAAGTTGGTGGACGCTTTAGTAGCACGTCACTATTTAAAACCAGGAGGTTTTCATCAAATAAACGGATTAATTTATAAGGAAAATTCAATAAAACGTAAAAACAAGACCAAATATCTCCTAAACAGCTGCTAGTATTAAAAAACACCAAGAAACATTTTTCATTCATTTAACGTAACAGTAGCACGTCACTGGTTTAAAGTCACAAAGTTAATATAATAAAAGGTCTAATTAAGTGAATACGCTGTAGTAAATATCATTCAATTCCGTCAGCGCATTATGAAGATATGGCAGGAAATATATATTTTTTTGTAAACTTTAACACCCTGTATCTCGAATACCGAATCCCGCAGGAAAAAAGTTTACATAGAACTCTACTTATTTTTTGGTAATGAATTTAGTCCTGCAGTTTCTGTATTTAAAGTGAAATCACCCTGTATATTTAAAATTTTATTCATAAAAAAAATATAATGCCTTTTCCTGTAAAATAAACAAGTAGTTTTACGAATATAGTCAATATATTCAACTGTGTGGTAATCTTATTTTAGAATAAAAAAATAATAATTAAAAAATTACTAGTATTTTGAATAAATAAAGTGATTCAAGGAAAATCTAAAATATTTTTACATACATATTCAAGTTTGAAAAATTGTACGATTGATTTCAGGTCAGAGCCTTAGCTTACGATTTAGTATTAAACGGCAATGAAGTAGGAGGTGGTTCCATCAGAATCCATGACCCAGCCTTACAAGAAACCGTCCTAGACTTACTGAAGATCAAAAAAGATACAATGCAACATATTCTTGATATGCTGAGCTCAGGGTGCCCGCCCCACGGAGGTATTGCTTTAGGGTTAGATAGATTGCTGTCTATTTTACTGAATACAACTAGCATTCGCGACGTTATTGCTTTTCCAAAGAATTTTGAGGGCAGGGATCCTCTAAGCGGTGCCCCTTCCTATATTTCAGAACAAGATCAAAAGTTGTATCATATAAAAAGTGTGATTAGTGATAAGGATAAAAAGTAATAACATTCTGGATAAAGCTGAATATTGTTACAAGTTTTGTTATAGGTATATTTTTTATTAAATAAAGCTTTGTTGAGAGTTGCAAATATTTTTGTATATTTTGATTCCCTATTGCCTGTTACCATTTGCAAATTTTTTGGTAGTAGTTTTAGTAGTCTTAGCGCTCGGCAAGAACCAACGGGTACGGCTTTCTTTATATAAATTATAAATTGTCCGCCGAATTACATCTCTCGTCATGTCATCGATATTTTTAAATTTTTATTTTCACTTTCTCCTTACACAATGATCTATAACACCTTGTTTAATAACACGAAAAATGGTGGACACTGAAACTTTAGTTAATATGTGAATTTTGTTTATAATTTCATTATCTGATTTTTTATTTTCTTCCTTTGTTTAAACAATCGTAAATATTTAAAATGAGACGCTGGCATTGAACATGTAAATCTTTATTTTAAATCCTAAATCTGTTTCATCAACAACCTGTTCTACTAATATTGTTTGGCAGTTTTTCGTTTTGTTCCGTTTCAAAATGTCTCCAGAATACCATGTTGTAATAATATTAGTAAATAAAATATCCTTATATCTCCATTTCGCAATTGTAATATGAATGATTAACAAAAGGTGCCTATAACAACATAAAATTATTTGAATCGCACCAATTACTGCATTGCTGCACTGCACTGCTAGGCAATTTGTTGACAACTGAAATTTATGGCCCAGTCGCCCAGTAAGGCGATGTGGGCTCTTTGCCCACGCCCACATTCTTCAACTGGGCGAATGCATTTCTACCACCTCCACGTTTAGTTCGACCAGACCTGTATATGGTATGGCTAAATAAATATGGGAACGAATTTTTCAAATATTTCAATGCCGAGTTGCTGCGTAGCGGCCAAGCCTTTTGGTCTTCAATTGAGATCGGAAAGACTATACCTTATGCAGCTAAAAATTCATTTTTATCTGTTTTTTAAATTAGTCAGTCAAAAAATTACATGCATTAAAAATAAGTTTCTATTTATTTTAATTTTGTATTAAATTTAAACATTTATTGCTGCCACTTTGATTAAAAATTAAAATAATACATAGACAATTACCTACATAAAAAAATATTTTGGTTAAGAATAGTACATAAAATAGATGTTAAAGTAATATGTATTTAAATGCACTGATATAACAATACAAATATTTATTACTAAAATACAAATATATAAAATATTAAGTACATTGTTATGCTAATTAAGCACTCTTCAATAGTAGATCTTAAACTTAAAAACACTGTAAAAATATAGACAGATAAATATATTTCCCATATAATCTTATAGCATTTTAACTAATATGCATTTTTCCACTCGGTGTGTACCAAAAACATTTTCGTCCTGTTCTGTCAACTTGATAAATAAAGGATGAAAATAACTGAGTGCAAAAATTGCAAATTATCAGAGACCCTGTTATACAGAGTGCTAATTAAATACTTCAACCAACTTTAAGGCGCAATTCTTCAAATGATTTAAACCAAAATAGTTACGGGTCCACAAATCAATATTTTTTGATATTGAGGATGTTGAAATTTAATAAAAAATTCACCTTTCCTAAAATATCTTGTAAAAATGTTTGACACAGAATAATCAAACTTACGCTGATGACTTACAAGGTAAAAATCTACTAAATTCAGATATAAATACTTGTAACAGTGAAGGAGATACCAGTTGTCCCCACAGAAAAACCCAGAAATTTGATGGCTTGAATGAATATTTCAAAAATTCCATTCCAAAAAAACATTTTTGATTTATTATTTTTTTTAATTTCAACACTACATAAAACGTAAAACGACATGGGAACTAGTCAGTTCTTTCAAAAAAAGATTTTTTTTTAGATTTTTTTTACTAGAAATTCAGTTTTAAATACAAACTAAATTATGTGAAGTCCAAAAAAAAAATAAGTGACATTTTGTGGTTCAAAGTTAAAAAACCAATAAATTGAAAATGGTTAGTTTATTGAGTAAAATGAAAGATGTTTTTTTGTTAGAAATACTATAAGAAATTAGAAATTTTGGTTTAAATCACTCACGGAATCACCCTTTGAAGTTTTTCGATGTACTTAATTAGCAGTCTGCACAAGTAATGCTTGAACCCAGACCATATATTAAAATTAACTTGTAGGTGATTCCTGCCGTAATCGTTCCACATCATTAAAAATCACTTGTGCCCCGCCCCCACAAGTGGGAACTATGTCAGCTTTGTACAATTTGGTCTCGACTTCTCCATCGGTGTCTTGTTCCTGAGCCAACAAACAGTATTTGCTCTGTTTAGGATTTGTAATATCACTGGCTTTTGTTAATTTTGATACAGACTTGCGCCTTTTCATTGTTGGTTGCAGCACTGTACCTAATGCGACTGGTTTGACTGAATTATGTTCCAACCAGACCTCATCAGCGGACCTAGATCTTCGATGTCTTGGTGTAGACGAAATAATATTTCTGCGGTGATGATTATCGGCTACCTGGGACTTTGGAGTCTGAGTGGCTGTATTTTCAATTCTTGTTGGAGTCCCAACAGGTTCAACTATGGTTTCACTATTAAGAATTTCTCTAACCTTCTGCAGTTGAACTTCCTTAGCTCGGTTGACAGCGTGTAGATGATCTCGCTGTTTTCGTAAGTTAGCGTCTAGTTCTTGACTCATCTTTTCACTTACAAGGGCTATTTTTTGTTTAGTTTTCTCTTTTTCTAATACATTTTGGTTCAGTTTCAAATCTTTTTCGTTAATAATGTTATGAAGAGAACGTATTACATCTTGCAACTCTTCTTGTTTAGATATTAAATCACCGTTGGTTGTTTCCAAGTCTCGAATTTTTGTTTCTAAGTTATTTGTCTTCTGTCTTTGTTTGTTTATTACCTGTTTAAAACTGCGAATTTCAGTTTTACTCATAACATTTTCTTGATTGAGATCTACTAGACGTTTTCTGAAATCATCACTAGATTCCTTAATCTCCTTATCAAGAGGTTTCGACTTAGCTTTTCTCTGCTTTAAAATTTGTATCACTTTGTCAATGTATGTTCCTATTTCCTCCATATTTTCAGAATCAAATTTGCATATAGGAATATCGGGTAAAATTGTAAATCCGGCAGTTTTACCCTTGGCTGGTGTGTAGTTTTTTGTAATAATTTTCCTTACAGCAGATTTCGAACTGGACTTTATTATTTTAACATCTTGAGACATCTCTGCAAATTTCATGACGTGAAGGTTTTCCTCAAAATCATCAACAGATGGATTGATGCAAACGATCATTTGTATACGGCCATCGCCTTCAAAATAATTCTTAAACAAGTATGTCAGTCGGCTATCGCGATATGGGACCATTTTGTTACCCTTAGTATGCTGATTTTCTCTAAGAATTTCCATGCAAGTACGCAAAGTCATTAAAGAATTATTAATACTACTAGCTTCTTTTAGTCTTGTGCCAGTATTCTGCGTACGATTTGTTCTCTCTGATCCAGCTAAATCAACTAAACTTAGTTGACCCACAGTAAGCAGGTTCTTTTCTGGAATTATTGGCTTCCCGTTATCATTCCAGGATACTTGTTCTAACTGAACAACACGTATATTAAATATCGAATGACTGCGACTAGATTCCGCATTTAAAATAGTCCATCCCATTTTTTTCCTCTTTTGACCGGCATTAAATAGTTCAAATGCTTCTTGGGCACTTTTTACTTCTACTTCTACAACTCCATTGACATACATATTTTTTTGAAAGTCTTCACGCAAAATTTTATTCTGGAAAGTTTTCCCATTTGGCTCATCTAGGAGGTCATAGACGTTATTGTTATATATCTCTATGTAGCTTACAAATACCGCAAATAAATTAGTTGCATTCAATAAAGGAATTTGTATGCCATCATTACAATAACTGCTTTTTTCTGCATTAATTTTCCTATTAGACTTAGGAGTTCTTGTCTTTGATCGAATTTCAACCATTCTATCCTGCATAGCATCATCTTCAGTTTGCACTTCAAATCCATTCATTTTATCTGATTTTATGATAAATTTTGGAGCTTGAAAGTCTCCGATGGAATTAAAAATAGTGTCTATACATCTTGGCATTATACCGGGATTATTTTGTTCACCGGTTAAAGTAAACGTTTTTCCAGACCCAGTAATACCATATGTAAACAATAAACCATTTTTTCCTTGCAATAAGTCAGACAATAATGGATATGCTATGTGATCAAACACTTCTTTCTGGCTTGCATAGGCCGTAAAAATATGTTTAAATTTATAGCACATTTCTTTTCTAGTACCTTTTGACTCACAAATCAGGCATAATTCTTGAGGTGAAATTAGTTTTACACATGAAGCTGCTTCTAAATTTTCTGGCAAAGGACGTAGACGGCAATACACATGAACGGGTTCTTTTTCTGAATCAGAGCCTGTAGATAATGTTGTTTTTTCCCTTCTAAGCTTACGTGGTGTGGGAGTAAACTTTGTAGCAGCAAACATCTTGTACAAATTAAGCAACTTTATAAAACAGTGTATAAAAGTTTCATTCACACATACATACAAATTGATGAACGGTTTAAAATTTTAAAACTTGACAGTTCACAGTAACGGTTAGAAATTACCAGTAGTGCCAATATTGATAAGAAAAACATTTAATCATAGACCTTATAAACTACCATGGTCGAGAGTGTGCGGGGGTTGTAGAGAGAGAGAGAGAGAGATATATATATAGCAATATTCAGTCGCGCAAAAAAGCTATATCACTTCATCTATGGTCTATGAAAGGAAAGCTATTATCAGTTATTATTATAAAACACCACAGAATTCGACATTGGTTTTGTTTTGTATTTATTTTTAAAAAATTTTTTTAAATTTAATACGAGTGTAGTGGTTGTTATATTTTACGAGCAATTTTGAATCTTCCTTCTAATGTTGACAATGAGATCAGAGAATTTAAAGTTATTGGAATTAATTTTTGGTAATCCATAACCTGTGAAGCAAATAGTAATCTTATTAAAAATGCATGTATATTGTCTAATACTAGTGGTAAAGATGTGAAGTACAATAAAACAAGGCAATTAATTTTGATTGAAGAAAAACTTTTAGATTTTTGTGGTGGCAGCCAATTGCGATATATCTACTTCTCAAATGGAACTATTGGGACGTAAAGAAGGGACTGTTGGGAATGAAAATTTTTCTTACTATTATATTCATCATTTAGGAAATATATTATTATCATTAAAGACTAAGTATACACAAATATACATAAACTGCATTCAACAGAGAGTTAAATTATTTTTATCTACCAATCGTTTATATTAAATAGTGCTTTGATCAGTAATTGAAAAAAATGTATCTCATTTGAATGCACATTCTATAAGACTCAATTAATTTCATTACTTTAGTACAGGGGATGCTGATATGTATGTTTCGGAGACAAACATGATACCAACCTATGATCCAGATACATACGATTTGCATTCGGCTACTTGTGGCCAAGATGTAATAGAAATTTCCAGCAAGTAATAGATCTAACTATTTTAAGTGTTTAAATAATATTTTTAATTCCTTAGTTTCAAGAGTCCAATATCAGTTGGAATATTTGGACATTCTGCCTATGACGAGAGCAGTTATACTTTAGAAATTTTTAAGAATCCCATGGAGGATGGTGAACAAGTCAGTTCTTTTTTAATAATTGAAGAAGGAAATAAAGAAGGTGTACCTGAAATAAAAGTTATCCCCAAAGATGATAAAGGAAAGTTATCGATTAAGTCAAAAACCAAAAAGAAATTGCAAAATGTTTCTGCAAAAGTGAGTGGAATATTTTCCCTCTTTGAAATTATTGAATTGATATTTTTATAGATTAAATTGTTACTTAAAAGTGTTACGTTTTATATATTTAAATAAATAAAATCCATTTTTGTTTTTCAGTTTGATAAATGTGTAACTTTTATTTAAAACCTCCTATATACATAGCGTCCCAATAAAAATTCTCATGTTTCCATTTCCTCTGCCGATGGAAACCAATCAGATTGCTAGATTTCGGATCGTAACGCGTTATGATTCCGAAACCGAAATCATGAGTAAAAAAAACAGCTAAAGACTAAGCTTTTTTTCGCGAGTGAAGTCGTATGTTGTAGTATGAGTGAAAGAAGAGATTTAAACTACCATATGACAATTAAGATCAAAAGAGATAGAATAGTAACTACATGTCAGATATTCACCAATATTCAGTCGCGAAAAAAAGCCTTGTGTTACTGTCACTGGTGTGGTGTCACTGCTGTCGCTTGACAGACGTCAAACGTGACTATCGGCACTGTCAAACACATAATACAGTTGTGTTTACTTTCACATTTTCTATAATTTATGTAATTCAGGTCTACCTTAAACAATTTGATATCGATGTCATTTTTATAAAATAAAATTCCGAGCATTGTAAAAAGTGACCAATTAATAAAATAGTTATGAGTTCCGACGTAACAAAACAGTTTGCTGTTAATTGGAACAACCATATGAACCATGTTAAGAAGGCTTTTGATAACTTGTTAGTTAACAGCGAACTAACCGATGTCATTTTATATGCAGAGGGAAAAAAAGTGGGAGCTCATAAAATGTTACTTTCTGCATGTAGTAATTATTTTAGAAGTCTATTTCGAGAGTTCCCACAAGAGCATCCTATAATTGTTCTAAAAGGAGTTAGTTATCCAGTGCTAACAGACATATTAAAATTCATATATAATGGAGAAGTCAGTGTGGATAGTGATGTGTTCGATAATTTTTTACAAACAGCAGAATTTTTACAAATTAGTGGTCTCACAGACGGAGGGAAGAATACTAAGAAAATTCAAAATGGAGATAAAGATACTGTAAAGGACGACTCAAATATGAATGACGAAGAACATGGGTCATTAGTCGAAAGCAAAACAAAAAAAGAAAAGCGATCAAATGTAGATGCAGAACAAAATACACAATCAAAACGCCCCAGAGAAGAAACAGAATTTAATTCAATAAAGTGTGAACCTGGCGTTCTAACAGCAATTTTTCCAGAGGAACTTTCTGATACATTGCAAGAAGCTTCTCAGTTTCCTCCAGAGCTGATTTTACAAGCTGGTAAGTCTCCCAGAACAAACTGTGGAATTGCATTAATTTAATAACGATTTCAGCAGGATCCAATGTTTCTGTAGATGATTCAGCTATGAAAAGTAAGTGAAAGTATATGAAATTATGTTTTCGGTAATTAAGTAGATGTAAATATTCAATATTTATTATTTTATTGATAAAATAATTTAATATTTTTGGAAAAGGTGTTTAAAGTTCAATAATAGATTTTTAGATTTATACTATTTATGAGTTTTACAGTTTGCAAAAATTAATACACAATTTTATATTATATCGCATATTGTCGCTGATCTCGCAAAGGGGCATAAGAACACAAAATATGAGACAAGGTATCCACTAGTCTTTTTTAAAATTAGTCTTCGGATCATGAAAGTATATGTAGACATAATTAGTACCATGATCTTCGGTGAACTTACTACAAGAATAAAGCTTATATGTGATGATTTTTCATTATATTTTTTCCTGCTTATGGCGCTTACGTTCCTTTATGTAACCAGCGATAATATGTCCGAAAATGGGTCAAACCGCCTCTTTCTTAATTAACATTTATGTATTTTAATTCGACTGGAACATAGAAACACCTCACATATCTTCTTTTCAGTAACAAGCGTACATTTTTTTCAGTTAACATACATAAAATAATTTATTTCGATCAAATTCATGTTTTTGTGGTTAGTGTAGTGAGCTGTTTTATAGTGTGTGTATTTTTACAGTTGAAGATGTAAATTCTTGTGAAACTTCAGAAGAACAGTTTTATGATGAAACTTCGCCTGGCAGTAGTATCAGAGCACCAAAGTACAACTTTTCAGAAAACCGATTGAAATGTCCAATTTGTGATAAGGAATTTTCACACCCTTACAGCCTGCATCATCACAAACCAGTTCATCTAGGAGGCACCAAATGTCCCATTTGCCATGTGGTACTGTCAAGAAAATATAATCTGAAAATGCATATGAGATCGAGACATAATATAACGTGATAAGTCCAATAGTGAAACACTATATTGATGATTTTATTGTGATATTGGGACAGTATTACTTTTTCGTGCAGTGATATACACGTTTAGTGATATAGCTACATCCAAATATGTGTTGTTTGTATATAGCATTATTTTATTGTTGAACACTATAGAAAAATATATTTAATAGAGTAGACTTATTTCTAACTGTTTAATATGTGTTATTTATTTGAAAGTTTAATTATTATAGTATATATTTATAATAATGTGCCCTGTAGATTGTACAAACCAAATAATGTAATGACAATGACTGTGTTCTCAGTATTAATAAAGCCTTGTGAAAAAAATTACTAATTAATATGTGAAATAGGTATAAATAAACTGTTCTTTACAATTATTTGAAGAGATTGGCAACTTTGAAGTAGACGTAATATTAAAAGTGCTACTTTATTGCTTTATAAATGTTTTTATTAAAACCGAAAATAGAATCTGTTAAAAACTCAGATGTGACAAATGAAAATTCTTAAGAGGGAAGACCACTGTATAATTTTCAGAAAAGCTATGTTGTTTCCATTCATTTAAAAGATACTCTAAACCTTCTAGAGTAAGGGGGAAAAGGTTTTATGCCTGTACAAAATTTTTTCTTTGTTATTGTGAGCTCTTTCCCTGCGTCATATGAATCTGTTGGAAGAGTACCAAGTAATAAGTAATAACTTACCTTTTGATTGCTAACTTCTCTAATACTACTAACAGATGTAGTTAGAAGGAGTTTGTGTTCAATTAGAAGCATTTTCAAACCAAAGTACATTAGTATGGTATATATTTCAAAATCTTAAAGGAATTTTTGAAACGTGATGAAAACTGCACACGGCATAATTACAACAATTTTCGTTCTATTCACTCCAAATTTTGATATCTTAAAATAACTTTGGATTTTCAATAACTTGATTTTAACATCATCTATTGACAAATAATTGCCCCTTTTTTTTGTCAAAAATTGAACTTTTTGCTTCAAATGCGTGCCAGTCATACAAAAATTAATTTCATCAATTCAAAATCCCCTACGTATTTTTCTAACCATGTAGATTAAGAGAAATTTTTTTGTTTTTTTTTTCCATATTCAAATTTGCATCAGTTACACTGCATGCCGCAGAGCGCTTCACCTTCAACATGCCTCATGAGAATGGCTCCAGCGTCGCCATTTTATATTATTTATGAACCAATATGTATTTTTTGAACACTTATGGTTAATAACATATTAATATTTTCGTATTTTTTCTTCAATAAAAAAAATATCAGAAAAACTTTATTTTAGAATTTTATAGTGGTGATACCTCTTAAATTTCGATATTATATCAGTAAACCCTTGTTTTAATCACTGCTACTATGCTACTACACCTTTCCGATTATCAACTATTAACCATCACTTATTCATTTGAATAATCTCTCTTTCCCAACATCATCGTGGTGATAAATATCGTAAACAAGTGTAAATCTGGAGTTACTTGATGTTAGTATGCCTAAGAAAATAGTAATTTTGAAAAAATTTATTCAAACTTTTAATTTTGTGCAATAATTATTGAGAGATGTAGAGTTTATATTAACTAACATATTTATGTATCTAGTACAAAAAGTTGATGTTTATTGCACACAGCCTAAAGATTATTCGAGGCGACCAGTGCATTAAATATACTTTTTGCATGTGCTGACAATAGTTCTATCATTATCGTTTAAGAAACTTCTTAAGATTATGTAATGTCGTTGATATTGTTAACTTTAAATAAATATTTGTGACTGCCAATGAACTCATTTTAATTAGTATTCTGTTATCGTTTGCGTGTATTATAAGGTGTTCCATAGTTACAAAATGGTACACCTGGTACCTGTCCTGAAATATTGCATGATATGAGGAAAGCGAGGCTAGATTTGCTACCAGAAAAATATTAAAAAATCAGTAAATTATTTTTAATGATTACTAATAACATATACACATTATGCTTACATTGTTAATCAGTCAATTTTATTTCAATAAAACATTAATGTGAATTTGGAATAAGCAGGGTTTACCTATCTTATAACATATAATCTAAACATAATCGTAATTTATATGGCGTCATTTAATAAATTAACCTATTGTTTTCTTTAGGTTCCTCGTCAACGGTGCCTAGTGTCTTATATGACTGTGAAATATGTGGGAAAAGTTACAAACTAAAAGATTCACTCTCGAAACATTTAAGTGTCCATGCCGGTTATACCACCTGCATAATATGTTCAAAAGTGTTGTCTAGAAAAACTCATTTGGATCGCCACATGATGCAAACACATGGAATTCTCAGTATAGGTGGCAAGAATACAGTAACGACAACGGCAGTCAGCAAGCCTTCGTAATTTTATATGTACCTACTTATTTATTTATATATTTATGAATATTTTAAATATTTTTATTTATGTTGGAATTGACACCTAGTTATGTTACCAAGTTGTGTATATAAAGTAAGGGTAAAGTTGTAGAGCAAACAAAATGTGTTTTGATGGAATCTGACCAAGTTTTACTATTGATTTCCTAAAAAATTACGAATAATCAGGCATTTAAAAGATGGGTATGGGCACTATGGAAAATATGCACATAATAGATGTGTTATTAAACTGATGGTATTTGATGGCAGTTGAGAGTAGAGAGTATTTGCAAATGCATAGCTGGATTTTCTATTAATTACAAATATTCATTATTGAATTGAGCTTCGTTCCTAAAGCAGTCCCAAACAGTTCCGACAGTCAGACACATGCACAGTCCGATATAATGCTTACATAAGGTTCAAATTTCATTGCTTCAAATCAATTGTACATGCGTCCGACAGTTGAAAACTGTTTCTGATGTATTAGGAACAAAGTTATTAAGTTACTTTTTGAAATCGTAAAAAGTTAAGCAGAGTTTGTATATAAATCTACAATTTTATTCAGGTTTTAATATATTTGCCTTTTAATACATTTAAAATAATTATTGTTGTACCAATGTATACACAAATGTTTATTTATTTCCATTTCAGAATATTTACTAGTAGTTTAGGTAAAAAACCTAATATAGGATCAAATGAATATTTATTTTCTAAGAATTAATATATTTTCTATTACACACTCTTCTTGATTAATATTTTCAAAGCTTTATTGTGTGAAATATATTATTATACTTTTTGAATTGTTGTTTTTTTTTTGAGAAATCTGTTGTAACTAAAAAAGCGTATTTTATAGTGATGGCAGTTACTTATGAGAAATGAACAAAATCAAAGACCAAGTGATTAGTTATATTCGAAAATGTCCATGAAATCACAACTTTTTCCCATTATTTCAATAATGTGAAGATACTTATTGTAATAAAGAATAAATACAGTAAGTAAATAGAAAAAAATCAAAAAAAATAAGTTTTGTAGTTGTCCTTTTTAAATATTAATTTGATACTATTATTCATAATGGTGTAAGTATGAAAAAAAATGACCGTTTGTTTCTGTCGGTTGGTTAAAAAAAATAGTTATTTTGGTATCTAGAACGTGAAATGGTTTGCGTTCAACAATGGAAGTTATTTTGTACAGTTTAGCGAGGCAAAATATATATTGGAGAACGCAAAAGCATTTTGCATTCGAGATGCAAAAAATATTTTTTTGAAAACTGCAATAAAATAAGACAATTGTGTTATATACACCAATTTAATTTATATTCGAAATCCTTTGAATCAAGACGGTTTAGGCGCGGTGACTATCATAACAATAGCAACCTAATAAATAATAAAAATTAGTTATTTGAAAAGGTAGTGTCAGAATTATATATTGTAATTCATATTCTAAGAGTGCTTAATTCAAAATGAGCTCAGAAAGTAAAATCGAACATTTACCAGGGGAAGTATTGGAACTGGCACAAAGTGCTGTTTCACAATTAATTCCCAAAAAATCGCCAAGACAGTAAGAAATTGCCTACAACGAATTCAAAGGGTGGTGTAGTTTGAAGAAAATTCAAAAACTGGTATTACTGGCATATTTTGAACAAAATTAATAAAATTGAATCTTTGACGGTATGGTCAGTATATTCCACGTTAAAAAGTACACTGAATGCCACAAAAAGGTGTAAATGTCAGAAAATTTTCAAGACTAATACCATATTTGTAAAGCAAATCAGTTGGATATTGTCCGAGAAAGTCCAGAATTCTAACTAAAGAGGAAATTGAGAGATTTTTACAAGCACTGATAATAGATTTCTGCTAGAAAAGATAATTCTAATTAATATAAAACAATCAATTTAACTAATTTTGGACAATTTTTCAGTGCATTTTAATAATTGGTGTTTGTGGAGCTTTGAGAAGAGATGATCTACTAAAGATAAAGATCGATGATTCAATTATTATATATTTTCTGATTTCAAGTTCAGACCAAATGAAGATATACCACAAATACTGTGCTTTATATCCGGCAGTTACTACAAGTCGAAGATTTCTTGTGAATTATGCCAGCCAAAAATGTGTTAACCAAGTGGTTGGTGTCAACAAAATAAGGAATGTGCCAAATGAAATAGAAACTTATTTCAATTTGCCTTATCTGCTTTAGACGTTCTTCTGCCACTCTGCTAGCCGACGCAGGGGCCGATATTACCACCATTAAACGATATGGGGGGGTGAAGTTTTAGTAAGGTAGTGGAGAAAATTCAATTGCAAATAAATTGTTACCCTCTTCAGCAGAGCCTGGGAACTTGCCAATAATACGTGTGTAGTAAACTTACACAATTACAGCAGCAACCTCATTGAACACTCGGAACTAAAAGTTGTGATAACTGACAGTACTGGATCTGGCATAAATTTTACTCACTAAATAAATTGTATTCGTCCTATTTATAATAGTTGGTTTAATCACGTATTGGCCGCCTCGATGCCATAACAACCACCGTAAACAATGGTACGAAGAGAAGCAGAATACAGACTGATTTCAATCTGCGTCACTTGCGTATACTATACCTGTATGGTCCGAGGTTGATGTTCGCGTTCAACGAAGGCAACGTTTTTTTAGGTGTTTACCACGCAACTATTCTGTTTATTTCTGCATTTTCAATATAGAATTATACCTAAATTATAAAATTTATATAAAATTAAAAATTTTAAATTGTACAACCAAACAGAAATTTTAGGTGAAGCGGTGCATCACCTAACGAAGCGCCAGTGACTTAAAATGTATATTATTCAATTGATAAAATAAGTTTTGAAAAAATGACAAATTATTTTTGCATTTGTTTTATGTTCTAGAACAAAAAAGATTTTGATGTAGACCAGAAAAGTATTTTGCAGCTAGCTGACAAAGACTCACTTTGTTAACTTAAAATTTAACAAAAATGTCGACTTTTTACGAGTTTTCGAAAAAATACCTTGTTAATACATGTAGAACACTTTTCAAGATCCCAAGGACGGCAATCCTTAACTTTATTTTGCAATTTCTTCATGAAAGTTCTTTTTGTGAGCCTAGAAATTACCCCCTAAAAAATATGGATCCCATAATTTGATATTAAAATATGCCCTCTTAAACTTTCACCAGCCGCCATTGGCTTCAAGTCAAAATTTTACTTACACATTTTGTAGATAATTGTAAATTTTTGTTTGTAAGGCAAACGACGCCAAATGTTTGCATTTTTCATAGTAACGAGTTCAGGAACTGCAATTAAAACTCTTGTTGAACAATATGAGAAAACTTTATTAAATCTACATATTGGTTACTGATAAAGTATAGAAACAAACTATTATAAGAACAAGCGTTATTTGGATAAGCGAAAACAATAAATGAAACCCTTGTTCAAATAATCACTAAACAACTGTTTTGGTATACATCATTATATTATACATACATTGGGTATGCAAAAGGAACAAAGACAGGACAAATAAAAACAACAGGTAATAATTTTATCCACAAGCTGAAGATACTACAATCTCAATTTTACTGTAGAAATATAAAATATTTTAAAAATATAATAAATACCTAGGTTTAACAATTTCCTAAAAAAATTTCCTCCCCTGTAGCATCTGCAGCTCCCAGATTCATACGACTTTGCATACTACGTCATCCACTCGCACATTCATTTCGGACATGGGTATTAAAGACAAGTCATCTCATTATTACTATCAATAAGGCCTTAAGGGTTTGAAATTGCTTCTACATTAGAGACTCCGACGGGAGCCAGAACAATATTTTAACAACAGACAAAGCAATTTTCAAACATTCAGTTATGCATACGTAAAAAAGTAAAACCAGGATGAAAATGCAAACCAAAATTAGATTTATAGACAATTTCCTCGATTCAAAACCGTCTAATGAATCTATGATCATCTAAAGTTCTGGATGTCTTTACTCAACAATATGATCGTAGGATGGGGTGAACGACGTTTGATAAAAAATAACTGAAACGTATTTAAATTAATTTTATTGGAACTACACTACAATTTCTATGTTGCGTGCAATTCTTTGTGTACACAATTGTTTTGAGAAATAAAGATATCAATGGTGGTCTATTCAAATCAATGTAAAAAAGAAAAAAGTTATTATCACTCGATAATTGTCAAGTTCCTCTGCCTCAATGTGTGACAGATAAAAATTAAGACGATTACAATAAAATTTTGTACAATGGCAATTCTATAATGAAAAGGACATGAGGTTTATTTCATGATGAACGCAATGATTTGATTCTAATATTTTGAATTTTTCATTTTAAAAACGTATAGCATATATCTCATCTGCGAGTCTGTCACTTATGGATTTAATATTATGTACATATAGTCTCTCCCGGATGAAGTCGAAACGGGAGAAAACATTAAAAAATTGAGTGCCGTCTACTAAGAAATGATGATTAAAAGTACAGCAGCTGGTTTTATCTTTATTGCTTTGATAGTTAAGAAACGCAAATAGTTTTCCAACATTTAACATGTACAGGGTGTTCAGGATCACCTTAACCATCGACAAAGAAATGTTTTTGCATATAAAAGAAAATAATAAAAAAAACATCAACAGCCAAAGTTACAGATTGACAAGACAATAAAATATTACGGAGATACAATACAAATTGATGACTTTTTGCAATATCAAGTTTAAAAATTCAGGTTCTTTCATAGAACCTTTACAGGTCGCTCTTTGCTGGTGTAGAGCATATAACTGAAATTTTAATTAATGCCCTGCTGAAGGTTATTGTGGTTAGTACATAACAAAAATTGGAGATGATTTTAATAAATCAGTACATAGAATCTCCTAAAAATTGTATTTGTTTATTGTTTTCCCATTAATAAATTTTTTTTACCACTTTTCAACTTCATCCGTGACCACTATAATTTTAACATTCAGACTATGGAGGGACATAACTTGTCATTTTAATTTGTTCAGGTGCAAGTTTATTTCTAATATTAAGTTAAGTTTTACACTTAATCTTCAACTTGATATTCTCTATCACAATTTCTTTTAAAAATTTTTCTCAATCTAATTTCAATTGCTACGTACCCTTGAAAAAGTATATAAGCAATAACTCATTTTTTTCACGTTTACATTCGGTAAAACATAAAAATCGTAAAATTTTGTTATCAAATATGACTAATACCTGATCTGTAAATCAACAAATTCAGCTTAAGCTTAGCGATATTTAATACTCCAATAATTCTGCTCTTAATTCACGAAATTTTTCTCTAGTAGATAACTTATATTATAATATTATGTCATCTCGTGTTCAATGAATGCAATTTTGGTTTTAAGAGAATTCAACAGTGGCAGAAGATATAAGGGCTCCTTTTAACCAGTCCTTTTTTATTTTACCATAATGAGCAATTGCTTGTCGATAAAAACGGTGTGAATTTTGTAAATTTGCATTAAGACACTTTCAGGGTGATAGATGGGAGATGTAGAAAGAATGGAAAATGGTGTATGTGAACAATAAATTGACGATACTAGGCCTAGGTCTATACCAAGTAACACACAGGGGCATAGAGCTAAAATATCAAATAGGTACAAGAAATATTCGTAATATATTTTTATATTTCAGTCAGGAGTTAAATATGTGGACCTCATTCAGTCAGATAGCTCTATGACCAACTAATGCTAAATGTGTTAAATAAATAATGATAATTATCTAGCAGTCTCAAAAATACAGACCTCTGAAGAGAAATATGCGTAAAGTAAAATAAAAACATCCAAATTGAGTATATCGATGACGGCACCTCAAAAAACAAAACAGTTGAAGCTGTTTGAAACTCATTTCTTTTCTCTTTCAATAAGGGCATATCAGTTCCTGCCCGGTTTCCTATCGACAAGAAAATATTCCAACACAATATAAATACATCGTCATTTTTAAAATTCCTACGACACGATATTTAAACCCAGAGAGAATTACACTTTTGAGACTTTTTAAAACAATAATAACTATGTACATAAATGGTTTAAAAACAGTCGCTTTTTGTATTAAGTTAATAACATTTCTATAACATCACCCACGTTTCGGTTTAATTATTTCCGAGAATTACTTTGTGAGATTCTTTTATGTCATGAAATATTCTGTGCAAAGATATTTTTTTCTTACTAGATTAGTCATAATTTTAACATAAAATCATAACTCAATGAACACATTTTTTCCTATTGAAAATTCATTCAGTTTCATTCACGGAAAGAAACATTTTTTTTATCGCACCACATTATGAATATATTCAAAATGTATTTGTATTTTGACATAAAAATTACCATAATTGGGACAATTTTTGAACTAGCAACCTGAGAATTTCACAAAGTAACATTAAATTATGTGCAGTGTTAAATGCAGAAGGAGGCAGAAGTATAAATAACGTTAATATTTATTAAATCAAACAGTACAAAGATCGGTTTTGTAAAAACAATTTCCACAGTCTTATTTTATATAAATAAATAACTGTTACGCCAAAAAGTCTTGACTAGTTTGCATCTGAATATATGCAAGTTTCTCACTAACCCTGTGTCATGAAGTAAAGATAAAACTCACATGCAAAATCAAAACGGTGTTCCAGATTTTTGATATAACATGGTGAGGTTATGGAGATGTTCTAGAAGAATTGTGAAATCCTTTTTATGTTTTAAATTACACAGAGTGGAGTCACGAACACTCAGTTTTTTCACATAAAATACATGCCGCACAGTACTGCGCCTCTAGTCCCACGATTCTAATTCACTCATTGCATCGTCCCCCTCTTCCTCCTCATTGACCGTCACCTCACCATATTGTTTCATTTTTTTTCTAGCTAATGCCTCGCTCTCTTCTTTGGTGCGCTCCTTGCGAAACTCGTACACCAGTGGAAAAATGTATTCGATCGCAGCTTGAACGTCTGCGACACTAGGTGCTACAAACACGACATTCACACATTTATATATCTAAATATATGCTTAAATATTTTCATTATATTAATATTAGGCATGCTTATAGTGTAGCTTATGTAACCAATCATTTTCAATTACAGGATGTTAAAAATAATCACATTTATGCAAATATTTCGAAAGGCGTTTAATCTAGATTAATGAAACCCCGGTTGCTTAAGTTACAGTTCCATGAATTTAGTTTGTGAGACGCCATCACCAAGAACGCCATAATTTCAACATCACTTAATATTTTTGAAAAAAAAAAAGTTATATTCAAGTCTACAATAAATTTGAATTGAATTCCAAAATGCTATCAGAGAACACTATACCAACGAGAAGCGACAGAATCGGCGGCTCCTTTGATGTTTCGTGGTCAAGCTAAAGTTGTCAGATTTGAAGGAAACACAACTGTTTATGCCGAGAGAAGTTATACTTTTGAATGGACCTACACTGAACGAACTACATCAGTATCAAACATTGTTCAGATAATACATGAATAACTGTGATAAAATGTAGACAAATTATATCATCGCAACAGTTCTAAATGAAAACGAAATACAATACAAATAAATCCACTATCAATTAACGTTATACAACACAATTGTACACCGCCAAAAAACTATTCACTAATTACTCATTTCTCCTATTTATATTTGACAGCTCTGACAGCCACTAACAACTGACTGCAACACAACCTAGTTCGCGCATGCGCGTACGAAAACTATTAACGCAGAAAGTCTTAGTGTCGCTTCTCGTTGGTATAGTGTTCTCTGATACTATGTTGATCTAGAGTTCTTATAAATGGAATCTTATTCCAGTACCTCCATCACTGGTCGATACATAATTGTATAAATTCATTGAAATTTTGACTGCTATTAAGTCATCAAACTAATTAATCTATGTGAAACATATGTTTCCAGGATGTACAGTATAGCCAGCAAAGGTATTTGTACAGGAGTGTATGCGGTGGTACATTCATCGCTTATCACGTAAACAATGATGCATGATGACACGAGTAAACGTACAGATTACATAGAACAAACCTCTGTACTAATATTATTATCAATGAAAAGTTCTGAGGCTAGTAGGAAATAATACAATAACAATTCAAATGATCGAGATTCAGTAAGCAGGAATCAAGCGCGGCCAGATTTAACCAGTTACTGTTGACATGGACACACTGACAAACCTCTTCTTATATTGTAGTACTCTGGAAGCAATTCAGATCACAGTTTATGTGCGTACGAGTAACGTTTTTTGCCATGTTTGGACAGAAAGGCAAAGAAACGATAACTGCCAAAAGAAATATAATATTACGCAGCCAACAAAAATCATTATAGGATATTTGATAAGTAAAACAACATTGAAAATAAAAGTAAAAATGGATGTCTGAAACTTCTTACTGTGAGAGGAGAGGGAAATCTTAAGACTTAGGCCGGTGTCCCATGCATCCAAAATCCGATGTACGATATCCGAAAATATTTTAATTTGTACGAATGATAATATTATAATTCACATGCATCCGAAAATTAATCTCATAGAAATCAAGTATAGAACCATGGAATTTATTACAAGATGAAGGTGAAACATTTTCAAATGACAACCATAGGTATATATTATAGAAAATGTACGTAGTATTATATTTTCTACATTCGACATTTTAATATAACATTTATTTGACTGTAAATATATCAAACAACAATCACAGTATGTTAAAAACTTAAAAAGTGAGGTTAAAAAACATACGATTTCGGATCAATGTTAAAATTATTTCTACTTTTTCCGACGTCGTATGAATTTTAAAAATTTCGGATGAAAATGAGCGGTAAAAATTTGAATGTATATTAACCAATAGGAACACTTTCGGACCTTCGTATCGTCGGATTTCGGATGCATGGGACACCGGCCTTATTGGAAATAATCCACGATTAAATACACCTGCAATAACTAGGGAAGTAGAAACAATGTGCTGATATCTACATCTTCATCTAGTGGTTGGTCCTTGAAAAGTCCCATAGCACTGCAGCCTAATTAGGCCTATTGTGCGTCCCACTACCAGTCCTATTCAGCAAGTAGATTTGTCCTTTTTACAAAGTCCAAAAGCTTCCTTGCTGACACTTCTCTCAGTTCCTTGGGTTCCAAATAGGGTCCCCCAAGGAGCGCCATTCTGCTACGTGCAAATCCCGGGCACTCGCCCAGGATATGCAGAGAAGTTTCATCCGCCGATTCACATCTTCGGCAGACCGGACTGTCTACAAGCTTTAGCTTATGTAGATGTTTCCTAAAGTGACAGTGTCCCGTTATGAGTCCTGTCACTTTCCTGAGCCGGATTCTGTTCAAGCTCAGTAGCTCATTTGCTCTTCCCTTCGAAGGATACTCCATAAGCTCCTTAGAATGGCTATGTCCTGGCCTTGAAGTCCAGTATTTCCTGTGTTCTGTCTCAGTCCATTTGCCCAGAGCCCGCCTGACCACACTGGGAGATGTGCCATAGAACGGCTCCGGGCCAATGAACTCTGTCTCGGATCCCTTCCTAGCAAGTTCATCCGATGTGCTGATATAATCGAAAATCCTGATTTCTGGAATAAAGTCATTTTCTCCAATGTGTCCAAATTTAATATATTCGGACCCAGCCGACAAATACGCATATAGAGAAAACCAAATGAGGAACTGAATTCCAAGAATTTGCAATTTACTGCGAAACATGAAGGACAAGGAGTGATGGCATGAGACTGTATGTCCGGCAGAGGTATTGGAAAATTAGTAATAATAGAGGGTATCGTGGATAAACATGTGTACTTGAGCATTCTGAAGGAAAATTTAAAAGAAAGTGCCAATTTGCTTAGAATAGGCAATGATTACTATTTCCAGCAATACAACGTCCTAAAGCATACAGCTTATGTGGTACGTTAGTGGATTGTGTCCTTGCTACACCTCTTCAAAGTCCGGATCTTAATCCCATTGAGAATTTATGGGGACGTACTTGAAAAACATGTACGAAAACACAGTATAATTAGTAAAACCCAATTGAAAACCATACTGCTTGTCGGATGGAAGAGTATATAGTCCCCATTTGATCCAGAAATTAGTAAATTCTGTGCCACACCGACTTTCTACTGAGTCTAAAGAATATCCAACCAATTAAATGTGTAATTTTGCTACGATACATGTTTGGTATTTCATAATTTCATAACTGTACTTTTGCGATATGTATTTTGTGTTTAGCAAGTTATTTTTATTTTTCATTCTTTATGAACGCCACATTTTTTAGTTGGGTATGAGAGTATAGAGGTTCCAACCCTTAATAAAGTTTCGTTTGTGTTTTATTTACATCGGCACAGATCTTTTGTGTGTCGCATGAGGTGTCGCATGTTCTCCTGTACCAATACTTTTGCTGGCCATTGAATGTGATATTTTTCAAAAACATTAATACCTACTTTATATTTGAAAAATAGTAAGTTTAAGACATACTTGTATGTTTGGGATTTTTTTCCCTTAAAATTATGTAAAGTAACGCCCCCCTCTATTTATTATTGGAACACACATCTTGGTAAGAAAATCCTTTTTCTGCGTTATTATTATTATTTTTTAATATTTGTACAACCCTGAATAATGCCCACATTTTCCTAATAAGTCATACCCTGGCATTTGGTTAAAAGTTTAAAGTGCACAGTTGAAGATGTGTTAACAAATCAGTTTATTTTATATTTTTCTTTATTAATTTAATCATTGTTCCAAAGGAATTTTATTTATTTAACAAAATTTATATCCTCATAAAACTGTCTTTCAGTAATAACCATAAATAAACACATATGTAGGTCAAGCATTTTTGTTGAAATTGTTTAATTATTGTTACATGAAATAAAATTTGCAGTATCTTGTGATAAGCAAACATAAAAAATAAATCAGTAATTAATAAAAATGACTAAGGTAGTAAGCGAGAAAACCTCAGAAATAATATTTTAGTAACATTTGGATACGAAAATAAGTATTTATTTACAGATACGATCTGTGCATGAATCATCTAATACTCAAGTAATTAATTATAAAGTTGAGTATATGTCCCAATTTTGGTTAGTGCTTTCCCCCTCGGCAACTCCTAACGTCAAATATTTAAACAGATTTAAAATACATATTTACCTGTAACAGTGACACTACCAGTAGAAAATATTTTCAGGGTTGCTTTTGGATTCAGTAATTTGTAAGTTACTCCTGGATGCAATTCCGGTTCATAACTAAAAAATATATATTGTTTCAATGACTTCAATTTCATTGTCTGTGATACATAAAGAAGAGAGATTAAAATGAAAGGTGATATGTAAAACTTTCATTGTACCCTATTATTGTCCCCAATTACTTCGATTCTATTTTTATAAATTTATAAAATAACTTAAGTTTTATAATACAGAAATATGATTATTTTGATAGCAATTACTGAAACTGATATCCCTTGATTCCAAAGTACTGCTTTTGTCTTAACAGCGAATTTGTTCAAATTATACATAAACAAGTTGCAGAAGTAAATATGCAAATTATATCTAATTACCTTTTAACTATTCTAATAATATGTATGATAAAGTTATCATTTAACATTTTTAATGCATTAGTCGAAGTCAATGTACAAAGAAAATTACAGGATTGTTTAGCTCTTCATTGACATACAGAAAAAGAATGATTAAGTCAAAGTTAGAAATTGCACAATATTTCATTTGGAATAAGGCTATTACGTTTATTATTTTAAGAATATTCGTAAAATACTTAATAATAAGTAGTAATAAAATAAGTAGATATATGTTATCAAACAAAATTTTAGCATCAAAAAGCCATTTTAGCATTCAAAAACAATACTTCATTTAATAGATATTAATCTACTGAGGTATGTACTTATTATTGTAAGTCGTTACTCAAATACACATTATGTATATTAAAAGAGTCAAGCAAAAAAATTCATGAAGTATTATTATTATTTGAATATAAACAAACCCAAAAATCAGTCAAATATACATTTTTCTATATATAAAAAAAATGTAATGTAACAATGTTCAAACTCATACTTAAATAGTATAGCTGCAAAAGTTCCTTCCTAATCATCCGTTTCCTTATTAATATAAACTATAACATACCATAATTAAAATAAATGCTTTCTGTAGTATTTGGACATTATGATCTAATATACAAAATTAACGAGTCAAGATATCTTCACAAATGAAAATGAAATTAGAACAATTAAAAAAATATCCTTTACATAAAAACAGTCATTAAAATTTATCTTGCTTCTTTAAATAGTAACGAGGAAGCAGGAAGTAGATAATACAGCTATAATTAAAAATATCGCTTAAATTAGTTTTAACAAAATTATACATTTGTTTTTAGAAATTTTAAGCATAAATGAAAGCAATTTGCTAATTGATACAAATTAGTATACTTATAAAAAAGATAGAGGTACCTGATCAATTTTTTGAAAAATTTAATATCTTAGTATTGAACAATTTTAAGGTAAATTTTATTAAAAAATATAAAAACTTGCAGACACTGTTAAAGTTTATATTAGAATTCAGATTTTTTATAAAAAATAGTCTTATTGGAATAACCTATTTAAAAAAATCAATAAGAATCTGCTACAATGAAAGTAATTATGGCAACAAAAACACTTACTCTGCTTCCCTGTGTCTTTCAGAAAATGAACTGATTTTAATGGAAAATGGCATAGAACAGGTCCCAAGCACATTCACAACTCTATAGTTGTTAAATCTGACATTAAATCCTAGTTTTTGTAAACAACGGGCAAATCGTCTTGCTGCTTGTTTGGCAGCATCTTCACTAGTTGCACCAGTACATGTTATTTTACCGGATGACCAGATACTGGCAGTAGTGTATGGCCTGCGTAACTTCATCGTAACCATACCATTTTCTTTCCGATATTCAACATTCGAGCCGTTTATTGCTATTTCGCGTAAGTTCAAATGACATCGTACACTAAAACTACAAACCACATTGTTAATCACTATGTCTATTTCAGGTTCTTCAATGATTTGTTCCGTTTCATTCTGCTCACTTACTGGTGCACACTGTTCTGTTACAGTTTCTGTAAGAAGATGTTTTTCACTCTCACTAATAACGTTAATGTGTTCGTAACCGTTTAGGCTTTGCATTTGATGGTGCTGGTGATGCACCAATCCGTTTCCGTTAGATAAAGACTTGATGCCGTTCTTTTGAACAGCTGTAGCCATAATAAACACACTATTTATTTGTACTCCTGTGAAGACCTAAAATGTATCTTTATTAATTACCTAATATTTTGTTACACTAATTGTAAATAAATGTAGGTTATGGGTTAAAAACTTAAAAATTAGATAAGCAAAAGGCGTTAATGTTCTTTTAGAACAATTAACAAATTTAAAGAGCCCACAGGCACACACAGGAAGTGAACAAAAGGGATAATATGACTGCAATTACCTGTCACTTTCTGATGAACTCAGCAGAACATTTAAAGATCAAAAATTCAAAGCACGATTTAAATATAGTTTATAAATACTACACAATGCAATGACATAAACTAAAAAATATATATATTATCCATTGCAAGAAGCCATTAAACTTGACAAACTCTCACTCTCTCACTGTTGACTGGAGCGCTCTAGATATTCGGCGCAAGTTTTGCACAAACTGCATTATCGACCGGGTGATTTATTTTCAGAAATTCATTGGATGTTTTCCATTATTTAAGGCGCATTCGGCCTTGTCGACGGATGGTTCAGAATTCAGATCACTTTGTTATTGGTTTGGTTTAGAACAATCTGAACAATAACTAGCTCGCGAAAATGTGACCATTCATTCAAGTATTTCGGTGGAGAATGCAGATGTTTATTTTTATTTACTATATCTGCAAAAATGAATTCATGAATATAATGAATCATAAATGATCTCAAATAAGTTTGATGGATTTACCGATAAAAAAATAAGTTCAAACTGTTTTCCGATCTCACTATACAATAAAAAACTAATAATGTATCACAAAAACTTCAGACAGTAGTATCATTTACATGTCCGTTAATATTTTGCTGTTTTTCAAAAATGATTTTAAAATATACTTGATTTAAATCGATTTATTTCCCTTCGAGGAACATATGGCCCATTCGTTTCCGGACACTCCGTATATTTTGGAAAAAGAATCTGGTTGACTTTAGGACAGTCAATTGCGGTTTTTTTCAAGAGATTTAAACAAGAGTACCGTTCTTATGTAAAACAAAATTATGATTAGGTCTATTAATATATATATGACAGACAAATTAAAATATGTGACTTATTATGACATATAACATATATAGTTTTCCAACAGGAAGTGGAGGGCAAGATTAAAAGAACTAGAGTGGAGGGCTTCTGAGAGTCATTCCATACAACAACCGTAAGAGTCTCCCATTGTTCGTTCTATGGTACGTGTGCTATGGCACGGGTCGTGTGAAATTTGAGCGAATACGCCTATCTATGTTATTTTATTAATGTGACCGAGTAGTGAAAATAAGGTCTGTTTATTTATATTTTCAATTATAAATAGGTACAACTTTTTATTTTTGCCACTTTCGATTTTGTTTTATAAATTTATATTTTATATCAAGTGTGTAAACATTTTCAATAAAATGACGAAATCAATTTTAAAAATCTTGTTACGACTAGGAACTGGCGCAAGAATGTAAATATTGGAAATAAATAGACCTTATTTCCACTAATAGGAATTGGTCACATGAATAAAAAAATATAGATAGGCGTATTCGCTCAAATTTCACACGAGCCGCCGTGCTATGGTACGCGTACCATGAAACGGGCCAAGGTACGGAAACTCCGAAGTACTTCGATTTAATTTTTCGCGTTCCAATTGCGAGGAAACTAACTGCTTCTGAAGTGTTCCTAGAGCTTCTGAAGTAACTGCATTCCTTGTCAATTAGAAAGCAGTTATAAATGTCTAGTCTCCCTGAAATATACTATGGGCTTTTTTTTTGCGAGTGAAGTCGTATGATGTATTATGCGAAATATGAGTGAGTGACGAGATTTCAACTACCATATGACAACTCGCGCCATTATTCTATGGCTACAAATTGGCCTCAATGATTTGGGATCGAGGGGGATTATCCCTCTTTATCCTGCCTCATCTCGTGTAGGCCTGGACAGCCTTCGTAGGTGGGCCCCATCCGTCGTCTACCCCGACCGCAAATGCGGCCGGTGTAGGCGCTTTGTGGGACCTCCTTTTGTCCTGGCTGGGCCCCGCCGGCTAGGGCCCTTTCTTCTGGCGCTCTTCTTGCTTCGCCGGCTCGTCTGTGTAAACCCCGGGGGTAGTGTCATGTTTATGTGTGGTATGGTTGGGTAGGGTAGTGCGGCTATGCAGCCTGGGATGCGCTTTGCTAAGGTGGCCCTTAGGCTAGCGCGGGAGGG